ATTCCCTTGTTTCAGACTGTACATGCAGAACTGACTCTGTTTTCAAAAAGCATACAGTGTAAAAGACAGAAGACAATTGTGTCGCTGACAACTGCCCACATTTCACATTTTTTGTAACACCAGCAGAAAAGGCAACCCTCAGGTTGAGCAGAACATTCAAGAGCCAACATACATAGGAAGGGCAGACGTTAATAAGTATTATGATGAATGTAGTCTGAATAGCTATTGTAATTTCAGTTAATACGTTTAGCAAACAGCATGTCTGCTGCTATTTTTGGATGAAATTATTGAAATAATTGTCTGAAATATAATTAATTAATAGTCAAACGCTGTTCACCAAATTAAATAAATATGCTCCCAGGAGCTGGTCAGTACTCTGTGCAATGATCCCTATGAGTCACCCTGGCCAGATTCAGACTGAATTGCTGTAACATATTCCCCAGGTTTGAAATGTTAAGACACCTAAGCAAGGTATTTTTTACAACTGCCTTTTAATGGGGAATATCACCCAGAACATGCAAAATAAAATGCCACTGAAATGCATTGTTTTTACCATTCAATGAAATGGACTGTTTTGTGGACTGCATGTGCTTCACGGAGCTTTCAGCTTGTCCAACCGACAGGACACGTAAATGGGAAAGTATCACATCACAGCCTCATATGCTGTTCTGTCGGATCGGGCTATCATTCAAGATCCTGATCCCCACCTGATGGACAAACATCTGCACAAATTGCTGGCTCACTGACCTCATTAGAGACATTCAGTAGCAGTGCTGCAGATGAAGGGCCCAAGATGATATTGAACATAGATCAGTAAGGATCATTTTTCAGCAAAGTGTCAACCATATAGGTCTTCATTCTCTGCTGATTGCTCACGTCTCACACAGGCCACCTTTGGTGCAGATTCAGGTTCATTTTCTCAAGGAGGTATTTTCTTATTGTGCTCTGGAAACAAGAATTTATCCCAACTCCATAAAAATCTGATGTTTCAAGAAGGCACCCCACAGTACACATTCTCCTCTTCATAATTTCGTGTAAGTTAATGGATACAGGATTGGAGTTGAAGACAGAGTATTTACAGTGCAAGTCACAAATATAGCTTAGGAGAAGAGATTGTTAGACCATCTTTGTAGCCCTCCTTTTGACACTCTCTAATAGTTTTATATCTTTCTGTTATCATGGTGCCCAAGACTGCACACAATACTTGAGGTGAGGCTGCACCAGCACAGAACAGAGCAGGACAATCCCTTCTCTCGCCCGGCTGGCAGTGCTGGGCCTGGGGATACAGTCAGCCCTCCTGGCTGCCAGGGCACACTGCTGGCTCACATTCAACTTGCCATTGACCAGAACCCCCAGATCCCTTTACACAGGGCTGTTTTCCAGCCTCTCATTTCCCAGTCCATACGTAGGTGGGTCCCTTCCAACTCAGGATATCCTATGATTCCTTTCTGTTTTAGAGTTTCACTCACCTTCTGAAAATGTACAAAGACCATGAGAGCAGCTGCTGTTTCCTGAATGCTGCCTTCAAAGCAGTGCCAGACACATTAGAGGGAAGGCAATTCTGCTCATATCTAAGTCACGAGTCAATAATGAACTACAGGTGACCTTGGGTAGCTATCAGAAGGCAGTAAGAAGCTGAATGGCTGCAGAACCCCTTCTCAATCTAGAGGTGAGTAGGTACCCACATTACCTATAATGTGCCTCAACGCACAAAACAATGAATGGACAGGAACCTGGTTAGTTTATAGGCTTTCAAAAACAACTCTCATATATGATAATTTGGATTACCTTTTTGTTGTTCTTGTTGTTGTTACATAATGGAAATTTAGACACATAGATTACTTCCCCCTTCATTTTAGCCTGGCACATTGAAACTAAGTCTGACATTAGCTTAAAATATGAGGGAAAAAGGAGATGCTGAAAAAGAAAAGGAAAAAGAGAAAGAAAGAGAAAGAGAGAGAGAGAAAAAAAAAAAAGAAAGAGAAAGAGAAAAAAGAAAAAGAAAAAGAAAAAGAAAAAGAAAAAGAAAAAGAAAAAGAAAAAAAAAGAAAAAAAAAAAAAAAAGAAAAAGAGAAAACAAAAGAGAAAAAGAAAAAAAGCCCAGAGTGTTTTATTGGTAGAGGCAAACAAAAAATAGTGTCATAAAGACATAGAGTGTTTGTTACTAGGCACCTGACATAATACATTTATAAAACTATCACAGTGGATATAGAACTATCAAGTTCCTAAACAAGAACCTTTAAACAAATAGATTTTTTTAAAGCTTAAAAAAACACCCTCCTTCCCATACATAAATGTGCACTTAGGCCTGGCTGCTTTTAATTTAACTATAAGGAAAGAATGACAGCCCTCACAGAACAGAGCGGCAGAGAAGGAAGGAGGTCCCTCCGCTTCCCTGATGCCACACAACTGTTCACAGATTTCATCTTTTCCCTTTCCAAACTGAAATAAGTCTCAGAGGCTGAAGACTGCCACCGAATAAACTGCATTGCCCACGCCTGTCAGACTGTCTGCGCGCTGCTCTTCGCATGCTGACCCTATTAGATTTGACTATTAAAAAGCAGCATTGGGCCATGTCAGCTCTTGGGTGGGAGACTGCAAAGGCACACTTCTGCGCTGCTGGCGTTTGAAAGATTGATAATGATCCTGGGTAATACTTTTCCCTTTAACCCAAGTGGTTCTGTACGGGGGTCAGCTGTGTGGTGCTGCACACCCCGTCTCATAGCACAAGGTATAAAAACTGAAATCCCAATTGCTTGTGGCCATTGAAAATCCCATGGCAATATTTATAAGTATACAAGCAATTACAGCAGATGAAGTAGCCAGACTGGTTATTCTCTTCTGCCAACATAAATCCTCCCGCAGTAACTGAATGTACGAATTTTTTTTTCATCTCACAGCATAAACTTTAAAGTATTGCTGTAAAATGCTCATTAGGCATCAAAAATCTTTATAGAGTAACACTTGCTTCATAGCAGAGGATGAGAGGAAGTTTGTTCTACAGGTTGTGAGACACTGAGACTACTCCAGGATAAAAGCTCAAACCCACCAGTTTGCTATAGAAAAAAATATTGGACATAGTTTAAATTGCATTTAAAAAACATCTGTCTCCACCAGCAGCTCTTCTCAGACTGACTACACTGCTGTGCTTTATTCTCTCACACGTTGCTACAAGAGGACACTGGATTTTTAGGGTTTTCCTGTTAATTAAGTCTTGCTCCTTCCCGAAGGGTGAAAAGAAGCTGGCATTTCCAATTTTAAAATTGACTTGTGTTGGTATACCTTTCAGGTGCAGTGGTTATTCTTCTACTTTGCTTTGGATCCAGCTCCCTGTGGATTTATCTTCATGGGGTGTTGACTACGAATTCCACACAGCACAAACAGAATTGCCTAGATCCTATTACAAAATCATTCCTAAACAAATCCATAAAAGGCTACAATACAGTGATTTACAGCTTATCATTGCATGTTGTGGTTTACAATGTAAAGGGGGGGGGGAAGAAATATATACTCCTTGGCACAACTCAGTTGGCTTAGAAAAGGAGCATCTCTTTGACCTGCCCATCCAGTAACCCTCTTGGCCTCCCTTTCCTTCTTCCCGTAGCAAGGAGAGACTGGCCCAGTCAGTTTCGTTCCAGGAGCATGAAATACTGCACTTATAACTCAGCTTAAATCCTTTAATTTAAATCTGTGGTTTGAAGTTGGTTGCTGTTGACCCCTCACAAAATAACATGGGTTGTAGGGTGGGAAATGCACTCTGAAACAGAGATGTAGATTTGGCAGAGCGCTCTTCACTGAGCTCAATGACAGTGTTTTTCCAAATAAAGATGGAATGAAACAGACATCTGTCTGAGAGATGTCAGCCCCAGAGAAACCCTGGTAAGTGAAGGTTTTACAGTTTATCAGTACATTGTGCTATGTAAAGTGGAAAGTTGTTTACAAGGTTTCCATGCATACACTTATTCCCCCAGTTTCCATATTAATAAATTTTTCATCAACTTGAGGGAAGGAGATGAGAGAAACATCAAATGGCTCATGCAGCTGAAGTGTATGCCTTTGTCATCTACCTGGGTACTTTCATCCCATGTTTTAATATTTTACAGCTTTCCTACAGATCCCAGTGAGCTTTATCAAACCAGGATTCTCATTTACACCCACAACTTCATTTTTCTTTACCTGTAATAGAAAAAAAATGAATTTCTGTCTTTTGGCTACAGAAAATTCAGTGCATCTCTTTTATTTAGTTCAGGTTATGGAAATAATTGCGTCCTTTTAAGAAAGAGGACAAAGTATTTCGCAAAAGACATTTTGAAAACTGTAGGGCCTGGTTTTGAGCTACTGTTTGGGGAGCCTGATCCTAGAGAAACTGAATTCAACAGTTCTTCAGTTCCAGCAGTTTTTGGATCAGGTTCTAAAGGGTTATTCTTTATCCTCCTCCTAATTCTGCATCGCTCGCAAACTGCAAAGCAAAAACAAACAAAGTTCATGCATCTGGCTTTAAATATAGAATGGGATCTTAATTAGTATTCACATTCAGCTTAATTCCAGTCAACAAAAGTTTTTATCATGAAGAGGGGAGAATAAAAGTAAGCTGATGCACATCAACTGATCTCGCTGATGGAAGAGCTGGTGCATACACTACTACTGGAACATGTAATTGGTGGCAGTACGTACAAAGAAGTAAATCCTAACTAGGTGCTGGTCAAATATGTGAACCAGTTATCTGTATGTAGAAGTACATGAAAAAGTACCGGAGTGGCGTGGTTATATCTGGGCGCCTCTGCTATAAAAAGCATTTGTATTACCCTTACTTCTCTGAATAAATTCAAATGACAGCCCCATTTCATTTCTTCATTCAGTCTGGAGGCCAGATGGCATTAGAATCATTTACTTCACCTTGTTGTGCTTAATTACTACAATCAACACACTATTTTCCAAATTAATCATAACAAAGTAATTTCATTAGTAACACAGCAGGCTGTTGAATTATTAGCATCATAACAGTTTGCAAACAATTAAACTTTATTTGAACCTTAAAAATTTGCAGAGTAGAACATTATTGTAAGATCTAATGGCAGTATAGTACAAATTCAGAACAGAGCAAATAATCAAGTAAAACGCTGTACAAAATATGACTCACAACCACCTTTTTAAAAAATTAGCTGCCTGGCTGTTCACAGAAAGGCGAGCGCAACCTAAGCAAACAATGAAAATGAAGCGATTAGCATTTTCTAACACCGAGATTTGTTTAAGTAGCACCAGCGGAGGTTTTCTTAGCCAAAAAAGGTTACGGCGGCTGCACGGATTTAAAGCAAACAACCCGCCCGCGCTCCACCGCTGCTTTATTCGAGACACTCGCGGTGACTTTCCGAGCAGCTTTCTGTTAGGTCTCGGGTTTTAAGGCAGCTCGTTTACCTCCCCCCCCATGCCCGAGAAGGGGGGCAGAGCCCCCGAGCCGCTCCGCAGACAAAAGGCACTTTATTCCCCCCGCTGCCGCCAGCCGGGAGGAGGGAGCTCGGCGGGCCGGGTGCCCATCCGTTGGCGAAGGACTCCCTCTCCTGGAAAAAAGGCAAAAAGCGGCGGCGGGGACGAGGGGAGGGGGAAGGGGGCCGGGGCCGAGCCGGGCTCCTCCCGGTGCCGGCGAAAAGCTGCTGCCACCTGCCGCCGCGGGCGCGCAGCGCAGGGATGCGCGGGGATGCGCGGGGATGCGCGGCGCAGGGATGCGCGCAGCAGCCGCCCCCTCTTCCAGCCCCATTTTGCCTTTTCCAAGCACACCTGCCCACGGACCGCGTTCGCCTCGGCCGATGAAGGAGGGTTCACCCCCAAAAGCTAGGCGGTGCGGGAATTTGGGGCGCCGGGAAAAGGAAAAGCAGCTCGGGGCGCGGAGGTGTGGGGTGTTAACGAGGGAGAAGGGGGTTTATGGCCGTGGCATTAAGGCCTTACCTTCTGTGCACAAGCCCCAAGTAGACTTGATAAAGTAGCACGAGAGCTGAAGACTCTAATCTATCCTTTGAATGCGTCACTGATAATGTCCAGAATAAATCGCAATGAGTATCTCTTTTTTAAAAATATATACCAAAACTCTGTACCTTCGTTGATTCCTGTTAGGATCCAGTGTACTAGGAAGTACCAGAAATGACCTAAAACAAGCACAGCACCTGAGCTTATTAAAAGGACCTAGCCCTGAGTTTAGGCTAACGTTACCCTTTAACCCACAGTGTTCCCAGGGCCCGCCTGAAGCATAAACAGCACAAGCAGCTACAGGGGGACCTGCACAGGCTCAGCAAGCCTCAGACTGGCCTGACCTGCCTCCTTGGCAGATTAAGGGGCCCACAAATCAAGTCTGGGGGAGGATTCAAAAAAAGCTGATCTTCCATGCTACTAGTCGAACACATCTCCAAAAGGAGAGGTTTAATTAACTCTACCTTGTCCAACTCCTTGTTCACAAGTGAAAATATTTATCTACTTTTTTTTTTTAATGTTTCAACTGATGCTCATAGCCACAAAGTCCTGACACTAAGAATGCAGGCACAGCCCTTTTTAACTCAGAGCTGAAGATGTCTGTTGAACAACTTGCATCAGAAATTCCACACAACAGGGTATGCAGATTTTACTCTGTGGAAAGTACAAGCAAGGTAGAGATAAAAAAAATAGCATTTCACCACCCACAAAATCACTCATCTACTTTTTATCTCATGTTGGCTTACCAAAAACTGTTGTCTTTAATACATTATCTTTGCCAAATTTTCACAAAATTCATACCTCCAAGTCACAATGCTATCAGCACAGTATTACCCCACGTAGACAGATTTACATCAGCAAAAGAGCCAAGCCTTCATTTTGTAGTACCGTAACAGTCATTAACATTAACAAAGCTAAATATAGAAAAAAATAAATCATTGGCTGAAACTGAAACAAAACAAAACCAAAAAACAACCAAACAAAAAACACACTTGGAAGCAGAATACTTTGAAGACTTAAAATAGTACACAGAAATTTCCTTTGATTTTCATAAAAACTGCAAAAAAATGTACAGTGAACTACTACATGAAACAGTTAATTCATGTACGAACTGTGCAATAGTTTTCTACTTTTGAAGTCCAGCTTAATTTTTTTAAATCTGAGTAACAGGTAAACACAGCCAAACTCCCTGAAAGAACACAAATGTATAGCAATACAGAGTGCTGCTATTATGCTTAAGAAAAGAGCAACAGGCACTATTTGACTGCTTGTGCTCCATATGTGAATTACCATGGATTTCATTTCCTAGCATTACAATTCTATAAAAAGTGACTAAGAAGAACATTTCCGTGGAATTATGATCAATTACAGTTTTTAATGTTTAATATATACGAGGCAATGATCTGACTACGTTTGCTGAAACCACAAAATGTGTACGGCACAATCTTCTTCCAGAGGTCGGGTCTGTAAACTGCAGCTGTACACCACTCTTGATTTCAAGTGCAGATTTCGCCTGATTAGGGAAAGGGAAGTTGAAAGCATATCATTAACAAAAAAACTAAAACACACGTATAAAACTCAGTCCAAATACTTATCCCCTTCCACAGATTTCTGCACAGATACGTACATATTACTGAAGTAGCAAAACTAACTAGAAAGCACACCAACTTTGTTTCACCCAATATACATATACATACATATAGATACATATACATATACATACATATCTGGAAGAGAACTGTAGTTATAAAATACATCATCTTTTGTACACTGTGGTTTAATATTTCATACAGAATCCCAGAAGTGCTTTAATTGAACCTTCAATATATTTTGCCATAATCTTTATGTTAACAGGACTCTACAAAGGTTCCAGGAAAGAAATACTTATGAAACAGAGAACAAGGGAACATATAAGCCATTACAGAAGATTGGATTAAAATGTACTTACCCAGGCCTCTCAAATATCATACATCTCCATTATGTAGGCTTTAGGCACCAAGCCAATGGTTCCCTTCATTTCTCCTACCCACCAGCCAAATCTATTGTACTCCTAATTGAAAACAATATGCAATATTAACCTTTAGTCTGATATAAATGCAATAGAGTTTTGTATGCAACTCCTTATGGATGCTCTCTCTTATATACAGTTGTTATCATTTCAACTGAAAATTAAAACATTATATCTTTTTGTTAGAGGCATTCACATACAGAGTTAGGCAAGGATAGAAGTTAAATTTTAAAAAGGCCTGGCATGCTCAAGAAAATTTCTTAATCATGGCCACAATTCTCTACAACACATACTAAAAATAGCTGACCTCTCCATCCTGTATTTGTCACATATATAAAAATCTCGTCTTTGTAACTGATATCTAATATCATGATGTTGACATACAGGAATCAGCTGGGATTCTTTCAGCATCGCAAGACTAAACTCTAAGAAACTTACAGACAACTTATTTTAAATAATAATTTCCCCAATTGTGAAGGGAATACTATAGATCTAATACACAATCTCTTTCTATGGACGAAGTCTACTATTGCTTTAGGCCCACAGAAAATTCTACGGCAGATCTCATATGTCTGACAGATGACTAATGTACTTTTGTTTGAAATTTGTTTAGGCTTAGTGAGATAAATATGAAACAAAATGAATTATAATAGTTTAAAGAAATAATATCTTCCAAAGCAATACCAAGTAAGAGTATTGTGGGATCCAAATTTAATTTTTTTCCTATGAGGTAAATATTTTAAGATCAATCCTAACAGCAGTTCAATAAATTGTAACAGCTGAAATTGCACACACACATATATTGAGTTACAAATGAAGCATTATTAAAACAGAGACCCCATTCAAAAATGGAATGATTAGTAAGATAGAAATTACTTTGGAACAAACATGGAAAATACAAAATACACAGATATCTCTGATAAGCAACATCTGCTTCCTGCTACGCTGCTCTTCTGATGAGAAAAGCAAAAGGCTGTAGGATTTCTGAATTAATGGTCCTACTGAGATGACACTATAAGCTATTATTTTGACTGTAGATAAGTTTTTCGGTTATAAATAGTCAAGTGGAGCTTAAGGGTTAATGGAGTTTCATTACAGCTCGAGCTATAATGATTTGCTGCTGGCATATCTGGCCTGGTGGAGAGTTCTCTAGGGTCCTATGAGGTGCTTAGTGTACTCAGCTCTCCCTGTGCGTAACTGCGATGAAGCCTTGTTGATGGCTCACTTTCATGTTGGCCCAGGCTTTTTTCTTTTTTTTTTCTTTTTTTTTTTTTTCTCCTAAGAACATGCAGGCAAGCAGACACACACACACTTTTTTATTTTCTTTTCATGAAGGGCTAAGCACCGGTCTTAAATTAAATGTTTTCTTCCTTCACAGTACAAACAGAAGTTGGTGATTTAAAAGGTTCCATCCTACTATCCATAAAATACTGCAGGAAGTGTGGCTTAAAGAAAGCCCATGCAAATAAATAAATAAATAAATAAATAAATAGACTAAAATAAAAATAAAGGTAGCAAAACCTTCTCTTATGATGCAAACTCATAAACTAGAAAGCTGCAAAAACAATTTCACCTTCCACTGCCGTATGGACTTGTGGTGATAGATCTGGTCTGAAAGTTGAGAGGTACCTGAGCCTGACTCACCAGCGAGAAAACTCTAAACAGAAGTTAAGATCTCATAACATTTCCCTTGGGGCACACGTTACACCCCAAATCCTTAAAGGTTGAATAATACCCTGACACTGAAGTTTATAATGTTCCAGATCAGCCTGTTTAAAATTTGTATTTTATCTCAAAGTACACTGGTTAAATATACAAACTGTATTTCTAGACTAAAGTGGGAAATTGCTGAAAGGAGCAGTGCTCACGTATACTACTGGAATCTTGGCAATAAATCTCTCCTAGAGAAAGAAACAAAAGATTTTAAGCTGCTACATGGAAGTCATGAAGAGCCTGACAAAAGTGATTAAGCAAGTTTTGCTAGACATCAGCCAAAAAAACAAACAATACATGAAATGAGGGAAGTGGCTTAGTTAAGTGGTCATTAAATTGCATATGACAAATGGCACAGAAAGAGCCTGTGGACTATATTATCCATTGAAAATGTTCCACTTAGCAACACTACACGAACTTAGAAATAATTGTTTTTAAAGAAACAATTCAGATACCTCAAATTAAAATTAAGAGCGTGTCACTGTTTTGAAAACTTTGGTTTTTTGCTACTTACTAATACACCACTTACTGCTCTGGCACGAAGCTAAGTGAGAAGATGAAATGAATGTTGATGTAACAGACTAGTAAACTAATTTAAGGATTCAGTGCAACCATTATACTATACAGACAATATTCCAACCCAGAAGCTTTTACTCTATCATTACTATTCTTTGAATGGGCCTCAAGAGCAACATGAATCCCAATTAAACCATCTGCAGTCTATAGAAGTCTGAACAAAAAGATAATACAGATACCTGGTTACAAAGAATATAAAACCTTAATCTCAGGTTTTGGAATAATTGCACAGCAGCCCCTTTTAAACTAATTAAAGCACAGACATTTTTCTCTGAACTCCTAGCCACTCCCTTCTGTCTTCAGTACCATGAAAGAGTGAGTCCTAGTCGGACAGAGAAGCAGTCCCCCACTCCTTTTCTTGAAGTCCCATATACAATCCAAACTGATATATTGTTTCTATCAATGGTATCGATGATAAAAACTCCTTCATTACAATATAACTAATACACTGTTGGTGTGAGGTCTGTAAATCTATTATACTGCTTGGGATGTGTAGAATAAAAGTCTAAAGCCCACATTTGTAGGAAATAATGATTAAAATGCAGAAGAATCTGAAGTCAGTTAGGAGTTTTATTTTAATTCTTAGGAGTTGGGAAGCATGGTGTTTTTGCAAGCATCAGCTTAAGATCTCAGGTACCTCTGGGTCTACCATCTGGTATCCCTCACCACATGCAGCTCTTAACATCACTGCTAACATAGGCAAGCGACTATACTTCAGAAGGACTGATAAAATAATGAAGAGTCCTTTAATCTACAGGAAACCATTGTAGTCAATTTATAAGAAATATTGCATCCCTTTGTAGGATGTGTAATTATTTTCTATTAATCATGTGCTATAAAGCTACATTATGTGGTTATTCTGTTATCACTAGAAAGAGGCCTGCAGTCAGCTCCTGACAATGTTAGGTAATTACTAACACAAAGCTTCTTTCTCCTTATGTAGAAAGGCTATCAAGATCCAGAGGTGCTGTGATGCTCGCTATATGAAAATAACTCTCCAAAGAAATTCAATAACTGCAAAATGAATTGCTCCGAGGCAAACAGAGGGATAGGAGAGGGGGCTGGGTCAAATCCAGCCATCCTGCAATGAGGAGAATGCACAAGTGTGCGGCCACAACTCCGGCACGTGACTCCGAGCACATTTGCCATAGCAGGCAATGTTGGGCAGGGGAGGGGGAGGAAGAGGCCAACACAACCCCTGGAATACAAACACCACCGTAGTGGAATATATTATGCCAAGTAATATAGAACAACCACCCTCACAGACAACCAAATGCTTTCTAAGCCACTTCTACATTTTCACCATCTGTAAGAGAGTGGCGTGTTTGTGTTTTGTCTTGTTCCAGCAGAAATTTATTAACCAAAGTAAAGTAATTTCACGAGGCAACAAGGAACAGGTTATGACTTAACATGCTGGCAATACACCCTCTGTTCAGCGACGTTAGAAAAAAAATCCCATCAGGGTTTAGAGGCTCTTCAGAGGCTCTCAGCTGAACACCCTGCGAGCAGATGCTTCTTATCCCGTTCCACCAATCTCACTGCTCTGATATGTATACACCTAGGACTCCATGAGATACTGGCCTTAAAAGTTTGCATTTGCAGAAAGTACAAGAGGTAGAAATACACTATCTGATTTTTGCGGATATCTTTTAAATCCAAGATTTATTCAAGTTTGGTATTTATTTATTTTTTTAACTATAGAGGAGAGGATTTTGATATGCAAGAAGAGAGATTTTTGATATGCAAAAGGATTTTTAGCAGTCTCTCTTCTCACCTTTAGAAACAGACCCTCTGAGTAAATGAGGACCCCCAGATGCTTTGCACCATATTAACTTCTACTGACTTCAGCAAAAGTTGAGAACATCTGGTCCTTGTACAAGTAGTCTCTATTGTTTAATACATATGGTATGTTGTTGTTGTTTGGTTGTGTTTTTTTCTTGTTAAAAAAAGGGGGGTTGCTGAAAATCATCATTGTTTTTCAATGTGTAGAAGAAAACAATGGACTTGTATTCAAAAAACATGCCGCTGAAGCGTGTGAACTCAAGATTTTTCTCCTACCCTCTCCCATGGCATTGTAAGTAATATTAACTTACAGACTGAAGATCTGCAAGCCTTAAAACTGAAAAGCAAAATGTATTTATTGCCTTGTTTGGGGTTAAATTAAGTAGCCTCTCCTATTGATCTAAAGAAGTGTGGGAAACAGGGAGAATACTTTCTTCAAAGAATATCCTAGGGGGCAATTTTGGCAAGATAATATTTTAAAACACCTCTAATTCATCCAGAAGATTGAAGCCAGCTAAAAAATTTTAGAACTTCCTTTGGTGTAATTGCTGAATGATACACTATCAACAAGGGAGTATTTTTGGCACAGAACAGCATTTTCTCTAAAAAGCAGAAAATGACAAATGTTTTAGATAACTGAATGAGACTTCTTCACAGGTAGAGTTGTTTTAAGACAGCAATAAAATAGTCATCTTTAAGAATATAAGCCTCAGATTTACTGTATGGTAGTGTTATTAGGTTTTATTTCCTACAATGTCATGAGACAAAATAGACACCAATTTGAAAGCTTTTGATCAGAATAAGCTGACTGACTTGCGAACCAAAACTGGCACTGACAGAAAGGCCATTTTATTATCTCTCCCATGACATGACGCCAACGTTTTTTTAAATCACGTAAGTAAATGTTTACGTTTTATTGGTATGCAAACCAACAGAGCGAGAATCACTTTGCTTTAGTCTGTCTTAACTAACATCCCACTGAAAGGCCTTCACTCTTCTCTTAGCCATGTATCTAGTCTATTTCTCTGTAAGGATACACCAGGAAAAGGCAGAAGGAAATTTACAGCTCAGTAAGTGCCTCCTAAACTAAGATGAACTTGCATCTTAGTTTTCATCAGAAGTGTCCCACTGAGGCAGATCTCCCAGTACTCCCCACCTCAGCTCACTTTGCAGAGCAGTCTCAGAGCACACAAACTGAATTTCTTGCAGATTAAACTAAACCAGAAGATGCACTTTAATGTGCTCCAACCACTAAGCTAGACTCATTCCACAAAACCAGAGCAGACCTATTCTGACAAAAAAGCCTTTTGGGATGTGTGGACACGGGGGCCTCAGCATGAAGTGTTTCACCCTGCAAACATGCTCATGTTGGTACACCCTGCTTGCTAACGTAGATGTAGGCAGTATGATCATGAAAAGCAAAATGATCATTAAATACACCTCTGCATATGAACAGTCAGACAATGGCCTGACAAAAAACACGTGGGATTTTAGTATGCCTTTGACATCTTTGGGGGGAGAAAATACTGAATAAATATACTTTATGATGATTATGCACATAGTGTACAAAATGTTCACACTCACTATGAAACAGCTGCACTGTACTCTATTTCATAAGCGGTAATCCAAGCTATCTTTCTGAGATTTCTTTGTCTTTTCACTACACAAAAAATAAAGGTTTTGTATGTATGGCTTGAGCATTTCAACAGACATTTGTTGTGTTGAAAGAACAAAAATCTCCCACATTGGAAGTATACAACTACTGAATAAAGGGTAATCTAGATGCCAAGTTAATACTCAAACTTTTGCTCTAGAATTTTCCATGAAAGTCAAGTCATAAATGAGATTTCCATGAATCATAAATACCAGAGTGAGTAGCATTATATCACATTAGCACATACTCAAATAATAACAGTGAAGGAGTATTCCAGTTCGAGATACAATTTCTGATTTTCAAGTATTATTTGTCGCTTTACTGCAAATATAAATGTGGTGGGAATTAAATTAGGTTAAAAGTTAAGAAATGTCAGTAATTCTGCTAAGCGGGTGCCTGCTAATGTCTAGATAAACTTCCATTAGTATTTGCATCTGGCTTATGAAACTATGGGGTTTCCCAACATGAAATATGCACACAAAACAAATAAATACTGCAACTGCTGCACTTAGGTAAATTGTTCATACCAAACGTTAAAAAATATGGCCACCAACACTCACAGTTGGCTTTGTTACTGAAAATTGATTTCCTGAATAAGAGCTATGGAAGATTTATAAAAAGAATTGTTACATCATGGATTGTATTCCCATTTGTCATGTGGGTTTGAAAGCAAAGGCAAGACCATAAATGAATAGGAATTAAGAGCAACTATCATTTTAGAAAACGGGCTGCCCAAGTATTGCATTTCTAATAGTCAATATTAACTAAGAAATCGTATTAATGAGTCCCTCACTGAGTAGAGCTATAAAATGTTTTCTACCGCATAGTGAAAGAGGGGTGTATAAATCTCTGAAAGTTCACATGATTCGTAGTGCAAGTTATAAAAGCCACTTGAATATTCAGGAATAAATTCAAATGATAAATGTACAGATACTTTGATCTATTTATTTGAAAAGTTAGAGGGCTTTTGTTTGTTTGTTTTAATTAAGCTAGTATATACTACTGCAACAGTTCTCCTGTTACTTCTCAAATTAAGGGCTCAACTTTTGAAGGAAACTCTCAAAGGCAACAAAAAAAGATAAAAAATATATTGTTTTTTAATAAAGAGCCCATTGGACAGCTGCCATGGGAAAGCCACAATAGACAAATGTTTAGATAATAGCTAAAATAGTTTTTAAACGCATCTTCTGAACAAGGAAAACTCACTTTGGTATAGTAATAACTCTAGTCATGCATAGGTATTTGGATTATCAGTGTATATGCATGCTCATTGCATTAACACTGACTTTTGGTGCTTGATTTAAAGTAAATTATTAAGCGTTTGCCTTTGCATAATGGTTAGCTATTTTAGTAAGTAAATGTTGCCCAACAAACCTTTCTTCTACATACACCTAAGTTACAACTTACATGTAACATACTGCTCTTGCTTTATTTAAATTATATCAATGCCCACATTTTCAAAACTGGTTCCTAATTACTTCAGTTGTACTAATGATCTCATTTCTTGGAAACAACATAGTCACTTTCCCCTAATTTCTCTAAAAGTATGTGAAAAAACAGTTAAAAAGCAGTAAAATACATTGCTTTGGCATAACTACTGCTGGAAGATAAAAATCTATTTTATTATACTCATTAGAACAAGCTATACCATTTATATTTCACTGTAAAACGGAGAACTATTACGTGTTGCACAAATATGCTCAACAGTTTGTTAAAGCCTCACCCTTCCTACCACAATACTACTATGCCCGTACTTACTTCCTCATAAGCAAAATGAGATTTCTTCAAGACTAATGTTCATAGCTAGCTGACATATGATAGAAAGGCAATAAAGCCATAGCTGGGTTCAAGCTGAAGCTGAATTTATGACACCATTTTGGATATATACACATCAGCTCCTGTCAGTACCTGCATCTCTCATTTTCAACCACTAGATGGTGTGAAAAAATAAAAAAATTGCTGAGGAGTCCTGCCAACTGCCACAAAATCCAAGTACTAATGTAGGGGATTAAGAAATATTTCTTGACGAAAAGTCTTGACCCACTTCAGGATGGTTAGGCTCACTTTTCCTTTGGTTGTATTTTCACTTACCAGACAAAGAGCCTGTAAATGATCAGTCCTTGAAACTGAACCAAGTAGAAGGGTAAGATGGATAATTCCCTGGCACTTTCCCCTCCAAGGACCCTAAATTCAGAGCTGACAGTAGCGGCCAACACTTATTCTTCTGAAAAAGTTGCAACAATCTTTAACTGAAACAGGGCTGAATTTTCTGGGCTCTATTTTGGAGTAAAAATCATTCCCAAACAGAAAGGCCCTATATATCTGGAGCCGCAGCAGGCCTATTTCAAGGACTGATTACATATTAATCAAGGCATGGTCACAAGACAGTTGATATACAGATGACACCTTAAGCTACTGTGTTTTTTTATTCTGCTCCATTTTTTAAGTTAAATTCCTCACTATTTGAGGAAAAGCAAATGAGTTTTTCACCTACAAGTTGAAGATTAAGATTTTATTAGTGCCTATAACATACCGAAAAGTACAATTCTCAGAAGGCAAATGTGCAGTGCAATCTGCTTGCTTGTGGGCTTCCCCCCCCCGCCCCCCTTTTTTTTTTGGGGGGGGGGGGGGGGGGCAGGGGGGATGTGTGTGTGTACTAAAGAATTAGTACTGTTCTTTAGTGCTGTATAACTGTATGAAAGCCTGCCCAATTGAAGACTGCCTGTAGTAATGTAATTCAGTTATTAGTTTAAGTGACACTGAAATGCTTCAAAAGACATACATGTTCACATTACATTAGTAATATATCTTCTATATTTTTATATGGGACTATCTTTCTACCTATAAATCTTAAATTTATTTAAACAGAAGCTGTACATTTATTATCCCTAAAACACTGCATTTAAAGGTATCACAGAAGATTTAAAGCAACTGTGACAAAACTGAAGAGTTTGAAACTAACACAAACAGATGGCTTTAGCTTTCATGCAGCTACATGTGTATTACAACATCTTTAGCATAAATTCTACTGAATGGCAATTACATCTGAGATACGTATTAAAAGGTGCTTTTTAAGTGAAAACTAAAAAAAATCAGTTTTTTTCTAATGTTTGGGGAAAAGAAAAATTTCCTGTGATTAATTGTTCAGAAGAACACTTCAATGGACCATGAGATACATAGTTTATGAGAGATTTTTTGTTTGTTTGTTTTTAAGAGAAAAATAATAAAATTCAGAAACATTAAAGTAAAATTAAATTTCATGCTTGTATTGCTTATCATCACCTCAAATGAGAAGAATTATATTCATCATTTGCTTTGCAAACAGGAAAGTAGTAAATTAAAAATTGCCCAAATCTGTCAGAGCAAACAAATTTGAAATCTGAGCTGTCAGGACAACTGCAATACACATACAAAGATGAAAGCACAGTTTGGAGAAAAAAAAAAAAAAAAAAAAAAAAAAAAAAAACCTCTAGCAAGATGCCCAAAAAGTCAGAATCAGCACAGTCAGAAATATAAAACAGGAAACCAAAAACATAACATGGAAGATAATTTAAAATTCTACAAGGTTAACTTTTACAAGCAGAAAGCACATTGTCTCCTGTTAAATTAGTTAACAAATGGTAGCCAAGATTTAACAAGTAAATAAACATGCTTTTAAGTTAATTCCTGTTACATGGCTATGTTTTAAATGTGATTATAGTTCATTTGACAAAATAATTAATTGCAGGGAATATCTGATTGCAAACAAAGGATCTGAAAGGGAGTGCCAATTTCCCCCCATAGGACTGTGGGAATGTGCCCTTCTGTGCTTCTCTCTTTTTACAACTCTTTAGCCTCGGTAGCATGCTGTACCTTGCTGAGAATGTAGATAACATCACCACGTTTAAATGACAACTCGTCAGGTACATCTCCGGTGCAGTCCCATAAACCTTGGTAGAAATTGGCATAATCGGTATTTTTGCCATCTGCAAAGAAAATTACATCCAATTACAAAAGATAAAAATTGAGGGACTAACATTGCTCTTTAAACCTTCAGGTACTACAAAGCAATTAATTAGTGCACATTTCTTAATCCCCTTGGTAGAAACAGCTCCTTCATAACACAAAAGCAAGTGGAAAACAAGTTTAATAGGTGAGCCCTTCACTGGCAACAGTTGTATCACTGAAGACATGTAGCTGCAGGTTTTCAAAGCATTTTACAGCTGCAACTTAAAACAGCTAGTTTTCCTCTACTAATGTACTTCCAGCAAGCCACGGTTGTATCTCAACTTGAAACTGATAAAAATGCTAGAGTATAATTAATAATAATCTGTGAAAGGAAGCCAAAGTAAGTATTTTGTGATATGCTTCCCCTCCCTCCTCTGTTCCAACTAAACTAAATAACTTCTCTGAGAACCTTGTAGATAATCTTGGATTGTTCCTTCTGAAATATTGGAGAACTTGGAAACTGTTGCTGAAGCTGCATTTTAAAAATATTTGTGTCAGCTCCAGTTTAGGACATTAAGCTCTGGCTAAACATGCAACTACACTCCAGCCATAAACTCATCCTTCTAACAGCATAAGCACAATGGATGTGCTGTGTTCAAGCTGCCATACAGACCATTAACTGATTGATTATTTAGCACTCTTTGCTCTGTAATATGGCAATAACACAGTAATAAATGCTTTGTCATACACTTACAATACAGAGTGCGTCTACTGAAACACAGCACTTACACACGGTTAAATACACTGGGAGCTTCTGTTACACTGCAAACTATTTCCTGTTTTTAATTCCATGAGAATCGAGTGTGATGAGTTAATGCAAGAAGAATGTAAGCAATACCACTAAGATGACCAGTTACATTATGTATACACTAACCAGACAGAATGTATACGTACTAATAATTTACATCACTGGGAAGCTATCTTCTAATTCTGATAACATAAATATCACTGAACTGGCTGGATCAAGGCTGTCATCTTAGTTTTGTTATATGATCCTGGAACAGCAGGCTTGCTGGTTATTCCAACATATACCAGTTACATTTGCATGTCGTTAGCACTCTACGCCATTATTTATAGTTTACAATTTAATCATGATTGGTTCACTTTATTACTGAAAAAATCCTGCTGAAATATCAAGTAACAAGTGAGATGAAGTGTCACGCTATATAAAATAAAGTACTATTCAACTTGTATTTTTCCCCATTTTGACAAATGCTTGGATTTTAATTTTAATTCTCCCTGGATGAGCCAGAAGAGCTTGTTTCCTATTTATCCATTTCAGTCTGTGTTATGTGCTATCTTGTTTTGATGTCTAAACATTCACAGCCTTGCCTTTAGAGCCACTGTGCAAGTTAGCCACCATTTAATTTTCCATAAACTGGTGATTAGCAGCTCCCATTTACTATATAGCACTAGAGGGCGTTCTGACTATCAGTGCACAAATTCTTCTGTCATCACACCAAAAGTAGCGATTTATACATATAGAAAAGACTACTGACTATTCAGAAATAAGAGATTTTGTTACTGTAAAAATGCGTAGACAGAACAATATCAAGAGGAAGACAGAATTAGTATGAAACGTTGCACCTCTGAATATTGGCCCTTCTAATTTGTCATCTCATTATTCATCAATTTAGCATTAAACAATTAAAAATGGTAACACTGGTTAGCACCAAATCAATTTGTAATAAATATTAAATCAGAGTACCTCTTTTGGTTCAGCATTGATCACAGTTCCCAGCCCCATCTCATAAAAGATAATCTAAGCCCATGTAAGAAAGAACTAAAGAGCTACTTCGGTATATTCCAGCCTTTCAAATCTTTCAGCAATAGTCTTATTGATTTGGGTTTTAAATACATTAATCAGTACTTTCACTTCTTCAGAGTTGCACTAAAATGAGTCATGATTTTTCACATTGATATTTATCACCCTGAGATCTCTTCTTGCATTTTACACGCCTGAAGTAACTCCTCGTAACACTAATGGGAGTTGCACAGGGAACATCAGCAACAGAAGAGAACCCACATTGAGCAACATACATCTCTCCCTACATGCTCATCATGAGCATTTCATTAAGCCATGAAGTGGGAAAGTGACTCAACTAATAACATGGCGACATTGGAAAAGATGCATTTTTAAATAAGCTTATTGCTACACTGAAAACGTTGCCCAAAGACTAACCATGGCTTAGTTAGTCAGAAGTGAAATGAAATTAAGACCAGGAGTTGTTCATATCAAAGTCACATTTCTCTGAAAAACGTTTCTTGGAGCAACTGGTATATACCACGGGAAGAGAAAGGGGAATAAAGGGGTGAGAGGGTAAGGAAAGAAGTGCCAGTGTGAGTTTGTGACCAGCTATGCTGATCTTCAAACAAGTGTTAATTCCAAAGGGGAAATCTCTTCTAATACCCATCAGCACGAGTTCCTCTAAATTCTCTAAGCAACTACACAGGCATAAACACCAAGCGTAAATACAACTTCAAAGTCTACACATCTAAAGGACAAAACACTTCATAAAATGATTCACAGTGCTTCACAAACACAGAGATACTACAACAACAACAACAAAAAAGCTGCAAAAAACTCTGTGAAACACAAGCCCATTCTTTCTTGCTTCAGCCATTCTTTTGGTTAGAGATGACCCTGCCAAATCTAATTTGATTGCATTTGAAGAACGGTTAAATAAAACCTGGAACCTGTATGAAGAAATTAGGTACATGTATAGTAATTAAATTATGTGGACCTTCATAAACAAATGAGATACATGAAAACATGTGGTAGATTTAGCTGCAAGAACTTATGTGCCAATTAGAGTTCAAATGCAAAAGGCATTGACTTGTTGGAATTACTTCGTCACAATCATACTTTATTCCCATGCACTGTGAAATGTTTTGTGCCTTAAAAAAATATCATGGCATAATTGCTAAACAAAAGCCTGTTGTATTTGGAAGGCACGGTCACGTAGAGCACAAATGTGAACAAGATATGACAAAACAGAATTATTTTTAAAACGTGGAGTAGACGGTACAAGGCAGTTTGTTTTTACCTACCCATTGCTTTTCGTATTAGCAACCACAAGAAATGGCTGAGAGGGATCTTGGATAGGTTGTTTCTCCAGGAAATAGTTCTTTCATTCCTGGACAGTTATCTGGATGAACAACTACCCAACAGTTTCCAAAACTCTTCTACAAAGAATTCCTCAGGGTTTTCTTCTGCCATCTCTGTTTTTCCAGTAACAGTAATAGGAACAACAGACACTTTTGTCCAATATCCCGATGAAAACACTTCAGAGTTTATTTGACAGATCAAACAGCAATGGCTGCCAGCCTTCCTGATGGTAGGCTCAGACTGCTTATTTGACTGAAAAATACTGGCATCTAACAATGCAGGCATGAAGAAAGAAAGGTGAACAGTTCAGGTAACAATCTGACAAGTATATCTCTCAAGCACAGACTTCAAATGTTGTAAATTGTTTAAAACTTAAGAATGCCAATGGATTACTCAAGGAAAAACAAAGCTGTAAGAACATTCTAACAGCCTCAATAGACAGAAGAAAAAAATGGAAAAACAGATTAAGAGTCCATATTTTATGAGGTTTCAAGTGTGCTGTCCCACTGTAGCCTAAGCCAATTTAACAGCAGGTTGTCCCTTTCCTGCCTCCTCCCTCGTGCCAATTTTGGCACTTGCCATTTCTGAGCACAAACTTGACAGAAAAACTACACTGACCAAAACAAAATCTGGAACTACAACCTAAGCATGGAAATGCACCACTGAAAAATTAGAATGAATACAGCTGTGCCTGACTTTCATTGATCTTCCATTTCAACAGTGATGGCATCCAAATTAACAAACTGTGCTACGGTAGTGACTTATAGCTACCAGTTCCACACTACCTGCTTGCAGCTTGCTTGTGAATGAAGGAACACATAGGTACATTTTCATTTCACTCCTGTGGTTCAGTGCCCCATGTCTTAATGCGATCATTAAGCAGCTTGCAGTTCTGACTCACATTCCTTAACTTTTGATCAGATTCTTCAAAAAGTTAATAGCATCATATTCAACAGTTACTAGTCATGGTCTGGGCTGTTTTATGCTATTTAACATTTGAAAGAGGTGAACTGGAAAATTATTACATACTACTGTGTTCTTTTTTGGCATTGATGTGCTTAACATTTACCATACTGAAAGCTTAGAGATGGGGAGACAGGTAAAGTTTAAAATTAATGCTACCAAAAGGGCTCTGCCTCATACAAGCACTCTTCAATGCAAACTCAGTGTTGATCTCAATGCTCAGATGAGATGTACCCAGTTAATGAAAAAAATTGCTTATTCTGATGATGTCCTAAACTGCAAAGAGTGCCTGTAACTACTTATTTGCCCTTTTTCCCATAAACTAGAAGAAAATATAAAATAAGGGCTAAATAATGGTAGAATATTTATTTGGACTTGACCATCAGTTTATCCCAATCTGTTCAGTATAATCTTTCTGATTTCCTTTCTCCTGTTGTTCCTTACTTACATAGGCATTTACCCTAAAGCAGCACAGAACATGATGCTGACTGAAATAGTCAGCCTCAATGCTATAGCAGTAGCAAAAAAGACACGGTAAGTCCTATTGTATAACTGAAACTCTTATATGCTTTGGTATTTTTAAATAATTATGCCACTAGCAATTAATGTAAAAGCTATCCAGCAGCAACAGTCAACAATCAAGACTGGAAGGTTAACAGAATTGAAGTCTGAACGTTATTTGAAGTACACATGGGTTAGGACAAGAAAGGAGTAAAAAATAAGAGGGGTTTTGTACTTGTTAGGCTGAGCTCACAGACAATTTGCAAAATATTTTCTGCGAATGTATGTGCTGTTTGTATGGAAAAAACAAGAAATATTCTTAAATCAGATTAGATATTTATGATGTGATGCCAATCATAGATACTTACGTCTACTCAGCCCTAAAAGTCTAACAAATTTTCAGTGTTAACTGTTTTAATATCAGTAAAATTATTGCTTGAAATTAATTCAATACTGGGGGAGAAGAGTTATTGTGCAGGAAATTACTACAAACGCTAGCAAGACAGACAAAGCTCTTCTCATGGCAGTTGAAACTTTTCAAAAATGAAGGTGCAAAGGTTTGGAATTCTTAAAACTATGATCATTGAAAACTTCAAGATAATATATTAGTGAAAAAAATCCTGTCAGCTTTGTAATTGGATTGACCCCATGCTCGATTATGACAACACACTCTTATAATTACGGTAATGTCTAAATGAGTATTAAATGCTAAGGCTGTAATGAGTCATACTGTCTTACACATGTTTTTAGCAAAGCACAATGCTAACAGCATTTGATGACTTGGCTCTTGTTTCCTTTCCAAGAAAAGCAACCCAAAACTCTTTGCAGCAACCTGTTCCTGCTTTCCTGTACAGGTCAGGAAATCAGGCCTCTGTTTCCTCTCCACATGTTGCAACAGGAAGAACACTGCAGAGCTACTTCCTAAAGGAACTCTTTTTGCCCACCCTTTCCTTGACAGCCCTGAAAGAATGATGTGTATTATGTACGATGGGGGAAGGTGAGCCAGATTGCATGTCAATGCAGGTCACGGTTACAATGCAGCAGATCTCAAAAAGGTGTAAGGTCTGATAAGAAGCAAGTCTTCCCTACTTGCTGTGTCAAATCACCACTAGTTTATCTAAAGGTCTGTGCCCTTGAAGCACATATATATCTTGTTTTTAAGCATAACTGGAAATACATTTCTGTCAAGAAAAGTTGTCTGGTCATGTGACTGGACATGGTGTGTGCAGTTATTTTTCCAGTCCCAGAGATAATTAGCACAAGGGCAGTTTGCCAAGCTAAAGCTGAGAGAATATCCTTCACAGCCTTTCTGGGCATTTGTGTCCTTTTCCAATTTTTATGCTGCTGTCACTGGACTCTGGCATTTCTTAGCCAATTCATTTGCTTTCTGTGGTAATCATATGCAATGAAGATATGCATGGCCAACATTTAAACAGGCTGCAGATCAATTAGTGGTCTTAAGTTTATCTGATTTTTATCAAAGAAGACAGAGCTTTGGGTCGATTGTCAGAGCCTGTGTCAAGTTGACCTTTTCAGAGACGTCTACATTGCCAGTCCCTTGGGCAACTTGTTGTCCCCTGTTAGTCTCTGAATGGCAGAAGTCTGTTCTGCTCAAGCACAAAGTATACACAGATGTCTATATTACATTCTTATAGGTTTGACAGCAACTGCATGTTGTATCTATAAACTGTCCTTTAGCAGTGACACTTCCTCAATGATGATAAGCTAATTTATGCAACTAAATCTCCTTTGTGCAGAAATGAAAGCTAATTGAGTCATTACAAAGTAATTCAGGAAGGAATACCTTGTATAAATTGGCTTACTTTATAAATCCTTCTCAAGTGGTTTTCATGCATCCTAAGTGGTGCTAAGCAGTTTTGCTGCCATCAAATACCCAGGTGAAAAAGACAGCTTTAGAGAGCTACAAAAACATTATTTTAAAACAGCAAAGGGAAGAGGGAAGAAAATGAAGGTAAAAAGAAAGTACATATGCAAAATAGAAAAGAAAGATTTTAATTACCTGAAACAGTGGTAACTTTCTCCTGGCTCCATTTTCTTGGCACTTCAGCCTTTGGAGAAGCACTTTCTTCTGCAAAACACATAACTGCAAATGAAATTCTGAAGGGATACCTCAGCTGACAGGAATTACAGCCCACATCAGTCTGAAAGCCACACTCTACACATTTCCAGATCATAAGCCCTGTTTACTATTTTGCATTTGTACAGAAGTTGGAGCGTTGTTATTTCTGTGGTTTCCCCCACCCACCCAAACACTCCAAAAGCTTTCTTTCGAAATCTCAGTTGTGAACATCTGTTTCCCTTTGCACTCTGCTCTGAATACGGTAATATAGAGCTGCAGCTCTGCTGTTGTTCAGTCATTCCAAAACAATTAGAATGAGGGTCCTCTTCTGCTATGTACATTTCTTGCCAGGATCAAGACAAGCAGACTCAGGAGTGAAAATGTACTGAGCCCATACAAGAATTCAGAAGTTCTACACAGGCGTATGCAGAGAAGGAAGAGGTTATCTTATCTTTAGCACCATCACTGAGATGCACATGAGCTAGTCACCTGCATGATGGGAACGCAGCCACCACAGATGCCACACATTCAGTGCTCCCGCTGACTGAGGCTGACCATGGTTTTAGCCAAACCAGACTGTATCAAATAACGTAGCGCAAGTTTAGAAGAAAAGAGAAAGCCTGGTAGAGATCAGCTCTAAAGCATGCTTTCTGGCTAGCAGGCTTGGAACACTCCAAAATCCCCATAGGCGATTTCGTAAGATGCGCTCCATACTCCTCATCCCATACAGACGGGGAATTCTCTCATCCCCATACCCTCACACAAGTAAATTCACACTCAGTCAGCACAGGGACACAAGATCTGCTCTGCACAAGTCAGTCAACAATTTGTTGAGGCAAAATATGAACAAACTATGAGCTCTTTTTAAATTGTATTCTTTCTTTAGGGACATAAAAAAGTAGAAACATATTTACCTTGGCCCTTACAGTAAACTACAACTGAAAAAGATGCTTCACTGAATGAAGAAATAGTATATTAATAAGCCCACTTCGCAATCGAGAATTGGACTTTTAATACATTTGAATTAGCAGGTGTTGCTACTCATCACATCTCATACTGATATTCACGCTTCTTTTTAAGGCACGTGTTTCAGCAGCTTATTTTAATAGTTTGTTAATGATAGACAAGAGGTAAAGAACTCACAGCTTTTTAAAATGTTCCTTATTGTGCTACTTCTATGTAATTTGCCTATCTACTTTGACAAAGAGTGAATTTTATATCAACAGTTCAAAGGACTGTTAGCCTTGTAAAAATTTAATCTACCCGCAAGACTGTTCCTGCAAACATTAAAGCAGATGTTTAAAGCACAAGAATAGACCTGTTGAAATAAGTATGCATAATTGTTTGCTAACCTATATACGCAGTCATACAAATATTACAGTTACATCATGAGATTCACTGTACAAAGAGCTTTGAACTTCTGCCCTACTAAGACACAGAGTTTTTGCCATCTGGAAAAAAAAAAAAAAACGCACGCACACATACGCACAATAGAAGTGGGATAATCTGAAGCTGCAGTACAACACAAAACACTCCAAACTGTTTACTGCATTTAAATGTATTCCCCAACTTGGCACACCACTTGTGGCATATTTCCAAGTACACTCATTTGTTTGTTTTAAGCACTTAGAATTGGAGTATAAATGGCAAAAATACATCCCTATGTGCTGTCCGGAGCACTAGGAGGCACTGTCATTCTATGGCTCCCATACCACAATTACACCACTCACAGGTATTATGATCCCAGTGCCAGTCATATTTTCTGGGATGCTCCCTTTTCCCACAAAGTTTCACCCAACACGGTATCATACATTGATTAAAATAAATGCTGGTCTTACACATTAACAAATTCTTAGACCCATATCAATTTCTGTGTTGAATGTAATGTGGATTTTAACTCTATCACTGTCATGGTCATCAGACTAACAAACTGAGAAATGGCTTAAGTAGAGGTCAATTCAACTGAAGAAAAAACAGCTGAAGAGGTTTGAAAAGATTTTTATAAGATACAGTTGCATATATATAAATTGCACTGTGGTTTCACACAAACAGTACATATGCATTCCTCTTCCTAAAAAACGTACTTAATAACAAGAGTTTGCCATAACTATATTTGAAGACACGAAAATGTCTGAACCATAGTTCTTTGAAAACTAAAGAGGTCCCAAATTCAAACAAAGGCTGTCAACATTAGCACACCAGTTTGGATCCCAACCATCCCCACTTAAAACACTTTGCTTCACACTACAGAGTTGTCAAAGAGAGGAAAAACTAGATACCCTTCAAGTGCAACTAGACTGGAAGAGGCACTCCAGAACCGCACTGAACACAGTCCAACTGCTAATGGGCATTCAGTCTGAGTCAGACTAAAATGACTCCATAGGAAAAATTTTCTGAAACATGCAAGAGCAGACATTAGGTCTTCAACGCAAACCTGTACTTTACAAACTGGTTGCAAATGGTCCACACTACTTGCTAATGTAATCATACAGTGCAGTAGATGCAATAAGTTTGGGTTACAGTGGCAAAAATAGTGGGTTTTGGTATTATGTCCTGAAGTAATGACTAAATGTGGGTGATGTCCTTTAAATACAGTAGTCTCAATTACCCAGGGACTTACAGCTGTGCTCAGATCTGGCATACTGAAGTTTATCTTGCAATATGGAATAGAGTCAAAAGAAGTAGAATTTAAAAAACACAGCAGAAGTCTTGCAGTATTATTAAGATACCACATAAAAGGAGTCAAGCAGACCTTTAAAATTATCTGGCACAGAGTTTCTCTTCTTCGCACCATTGCTGCCACTGCAGTAAGAAAATAATCTTTTCTACCTTCTCATTATGTCAAAACGAGAGTAATCAACATTAATCAAACTAGAACTTTTCCAGAGCTGCATGCAGATCCAAAGAACAAACATCTGGTCCTTAAGGCACATGTTCCATACTCAGAGACCCTAATGGCAACCAACTCCAAAATTCTTGCAGTGACAATGCAACAAGGAACTCATTATATTTATTAAGTTGTTGGGTTTTTTTAGTTAGTCCCTGAAAGATGTTCAAAATAAATTATTTATTTTGCAGTCTGAAGAAAGAACAGAAAAATAAACAGAGAATCATAGATGATTCTATCATCCACATGATTTTAAAAGAGAACAATGAACACTACACTAGCTGAGTTTTTGACATGAATCAATAGATTTTTCTTCCAATTTCTTTTTCTTAAAAGGGAAAAAAATATCATACCACTTGCATATAAAATGGATTAGAGCTTGGCTCAAGCACTGCATTCCAACACTGGAATGTGGTATCTCCATAATAAATATGCATAAACTTAGCAGTTTCCTCTACCAACACACTCCTTAACCATCTTCGTATACTAGACACTAATTTAATGACATTATTAAATGGTTTTCTACTGTGTTCTAATCTCTGAGACAGACATTGCCATTGCACAGCATTAGTTTATACCTTGGATAATCCCAGCATGTGGGTTAATATATCCTATTCAACACTGTAATAACAGTAAACAAAAACAGCTCAGCTATGCAGCAAAATCTACCAAACCACACAGATGGTTATAAGGTTTTCATTGTGTGGTTTCCATAGCAATCATATTGCAAATCTGGAAGCTTCTTGCAAATAAGCAGCTTGTATTTACATGCCTCTCGGCTGCAGCACAGAACTCTACAACATGTGAAGTTGTTATTCCAATCACATATTGTTATAAAAATCACTGGAAGATGTTTTGATCAGTTAAGATAAAAACCACTGCAATGAAGTAATTGTTCATCAGTTTCATAATGATACAAGCAATCATATGCTTGTAATGTGCATTAATATGTCTTCATGTGAAATCTCACTGTGATGTCAAAAGGTTATAAACACATAAACAGGTCTTGTAAGACAATCCCTCCCCCCCCAGAAAAAATTGTATTATTAAATAGTCCATTTTAAAGACCATAGTGCCCTTACTATTGTACTCAGCAGGGATGAGAGATGCATGCAAACACAAAAAGTGTGTACAATGAAGAACTCTGCTGCCACTGAACAGCACACCTCTCTGTATTACTCTGCTTAAGAAAAAGAAACAATGGCTTATTAACACCAAGAGTATTACTCCCCCCCCCCCACTGCTTTTTTCCCTACCAAATAATCTCTCTGTACAAATGTAAACAAGAAATTTCAAACATGAATAAATGCTTACTGTGGGTAAGAGTTGAGACCTTTTGTCTCCCAGATTTATAATTTTATGAATTGACTTAACCCTGTAACAGATGGATTATTATTCTAATAAGAAACATAAATCAACCCAGCTATGTAATTTTGAAAAACAGTGAGAACTAGCTTCTTACAGACAAGACTATTGACAAGGAACATTTAAACAATTCCAAACAAGTAACAATAAGGACACAAAATTTAAGTACATAAAATCCTTTTTTTATAATATGGCCAAACTGACACATTCTGCTAGCATTAGTTGTGAGGGCTAAAGACCATCTGGGGTCAAAGGAATAAGAATTAACACCCTGTTCTGTGCAGGGCCAGCACGCTGCCTCACTTAGCATTCCAGAGGACGATGCTCCCCAGCCTCAAGAGCTGAAGGCATCTGCAGTATTCCCGCTGTATGCACACTTGTACATACACTAGCTGATTTCCTTGAGAATTACTGTGTATTTTTTTCCAATTGCACTTCTTAACTTTAAAAGGTGCTCTTGTATACTCAAGTAGCCACAGTGCAGGACCTTGGGTGCAGCAAGGAGAGGACAACAGACAGCTTTGTTATAATAAATAACAATACATCTTCATCTGACTGTATTAGGGTGCTTGGTTTGGGGATGAAAATGCCTCCAGGAGGGTGACAGAAGTGGGAAACAAGCTGGTTGCTATTTAGAGGAGACTCTAAACCTAAAAATTTCTTGGTGTGAGAGAAGAGATGACAGTTCTTACATTAACCCTACTTCTATGGATCAGATAGTTACCAATGGCTCACAGCGAAGCCATATTCCTGCATG